TTCAATAGTACCAAGAAGTAGGAGCTGTGTTGTCTCTGAGGATTGCGCTGAAGGCGAGCGACGCCTAATGTAGATTTACAGATGACCTCGCTTTGGGACTTCACGCCGCCGTTGCGGATCAGCACGACCGTCTTTCGTAACGACTAGATTGTTATATTGCGATATGTTGTGTGCCTGTGAGAATTTGAGGCATATTGCAGTCTTGCTTAGAAAGAGTAGGTACTCGTAGTAATTGATTAAGACGCATGATGGCAGTTTTCAGGTATGTTCTGAAATGACCGTGGCCCATGAAGCTTATGTCTCTAACATTTCTGCGTTGTTTGCGTACGAAGCAAAACAAAGCATTACTAGTGATCTTGAGATACTAGCGAAAGTCCTTTAGTAGTGACATAGACCAATATATTCCAATTTCACAAGTACATCAGTGGATAAGAATAATAAAAAGAATATGTCGTCAGAAGTTGTATTGACACAGTGCATGACACTCCAGCGCTGGCCACCACGCCGTGCGACTGAGGTTTGATACGCAACGTGGTTTTTTTTACCCTCGAAATGCTTAAACTTGCTTGTTGACAAGTTTTGATATTATAACCCCAAATTAGTGAAGATTTAAATACTCACCCAAAAGGAATGTGAACGGTTTTTAAAGGCAAAAGTCAAAATCTCAATTAAAACTCTACACCCAATAAATTGATTTAAGCTTGTTATTGGCGGGCGTGGGTATGGTCTGATGAAGAACCAAAGGAAGCCTGTCTATTGGATCCATGCTCTTTTTTAAGCTTCAATAACAGACTCTTAAGAAAGAATTTGTTGATACTTTCCTTGCATAATTAACCACATATAATTGAAAATTTCCAATGCGCAGGACACGCTTTATTGTTTCTATTTGTTCAAGTGCATACAGGAATGGACTCTACGCTCATCGGCATTGAGAGGCAAGTGGCGGTGCAGGTGCTTATACATAAGCATACCTCAAATTAGGGTACTGTAATACCTCTTCATTATGCATAGTATTCTAACATGATGTGAAAAATGAGTAAGAACGTAATCTTTGGTTTGAGTTTGCCAAACTCAAGGCGCAATGCCGACATCCTACGTATTGTTGTCCTTCGACGTATAACAGAATCCATTACCCTCCCGCGAGCTCTATAGTTTCTCACACAGGTGAGCCCACGACCACAGCAGCTGCAGCGGGGCTGCCGTAGCTCATTGCTTAAAAGGAAGCGAAGCCAAAGTCACCGACCTTACTTTTTAAAAGAGAACTAGTAGAGTGCGGCGGTGAGCAACCCGCTACCTCCAAGTACTCAAACCCTTAAACAAGGTAAGACACTCTTTCGTTCAAAATTGGAATTGTATTTAATAGTTTTAGTTGCGGCAGAGCCGCCAATATCTAAAATCTTCGGTTTTCATAATGAATATGGTAAAACCGGATTGATATGGTAAAGCTTCACCACGTAAGTGGCTTCTTGTTACGGTGTAGCCACACCATTGTGTGAATACACCTACTTGTGTAATTCACACCTAAGCATGGTCACACCATCTTTTGTGACCCGCCATTTCATACAAGGGTACGTGTAACCCCGTTACACTCTCCCCCATCAAACTTGTGGACATCCACAATTCAGATCTAACTGTCACCTCAGACGAGGCTCGTATGTCTGAAGACACCGTTCGTTTTGAAGAACATCCGTGAATAATCTCCGCTCAATGCGGCCTGTGTCTATAACAGGCAAATTACCTAGCCTAGCTGGTTCCGAGGGCGCCCGCGGGTGAAGCCCTTTTCTTCTGCACGGGGTGCATCTTTGAACAATACGTCTGTGGCTTAATGGGAGCATATTCCAAGGCCTCGGGAACCGAGCTCCACACACTGCCCCGCCCTTGGCGACGGATTTCGTCGTGGAAGAATCGATGAATGTCGATTACGAGTCGGACACTCTTTTCCCAGCATTGGAAGACGAGGGGGATTAGGTGCGCCAACTGCGCGATGTGAGCCCAGCTTGAACCTTGCGGACATCGTGTCCGTGTCCGCTCCCGACCTCTCAACTTCTGAAAAAAGTGATATTATTACCAACGGCCTCGACGAGGCACAGCGGTGGTTTTCCAAGCGGGATGCTTTGGGTGTGGTTGGTGGTCCTGAAGGGCTGTGTAATGCATCAGCAACATTTAATTATCTTGTGACGTAAATGTTCAGGTTCCACCGGGCGTATGCACAAACATACCTCGACGACATCTTCGACCACGTCACGGGAGGACATATGAGGACATCCACATCGTTAATTTTTTGAGAGCGGTGCTCGAGTGCATGCGCACAAATAAGCTGTATACAAATACAGATGAGTGCACCTTCCGCGCTGAGGAAATATCTTTTAGAATACTTAATTGGGAAGCGTGGCCTTCGAGCGGATCCCGCTAAGGTCAAGGCCACTGTAGACTGGCCGGATCCAAAGAAGCAAAAGGGCTTGCACAAGTGGCTTGGCCTCGCTAACTACTAGCTCAAATATAGCGCAAATTATGCGGAAAGGACACAGCCATTGTCGAATCTCCTTAGGAAAGATCCAGAACGGTGTTGGGACACCAATTATCGGGAGGCTTTTGACAGAGTCAAAAGCAGCCTCCTTCATGCACCAATACTGGCGTTGCCAGACCCCGATCGTCCTTTTAGTGTCTGTCATCTACGATGCTTTGAACTTTGTCATTGGCCGTGAATTGCTGCAAGCAGACGCCGAGGGGCGAGATCGGGGATTGCGGTTGGATCTCGCTAGCGTAAGGCTGCGGGGAGGCAGTACCCAGTTCACGACAAGAAATCGCTTGCGATGAAGTATGCACTTGTCAAGTTCAGGGTGCACCTGCTTGGCTCAAAGCCGCTTGTGGTCTACACAGATCATGCATCATTACGCACTGTGACTCAGTTGCCATACCTCTCGTAGAGAATGACCAGGTAGCTATCATCTCTTGCAAAATATATTGTCGCGATGAAGTATAAGCCAGGAAAGCACAATGCTCTGGCTGATGCGTTGTCACGCAGACTGTATTCTGAGCTTGCTCATATCACGACGATGACGTCGTCAGTGACGGATTTAATGTAGCTCTGCTACAGGCTCTCGAGAGCAAGAAATTTGAAAACTCGGACCGGTTTTTGTCCGCGCTTATGCGCGCACAATTACACCGATATTCGCTGAATAACGGTATGCTGTATTATAGCACCGATTCAACGGATACGCCACAAATTTTGAGTCCTCACGATGAGAATTTAACATACTGTATTCTCAAAAGGGCCCACGACACTCCACTTAGTGGCCATTTCGGTCATGAGAGGACGTACAGCCCGGTGAGTTGCCACTATTGGTGGCCCAAGCTATACCAACTGACGAGCGCATATGTGCGCACGTGGCAAGACATGTAAGAGGAGGAAACACTGCATTAAACGGCGGCGGCGACGCTGGCCAGATTACCGGTACCCTTCGGGTGTCGGCAGTCTATGAGTATGGACTTTGTGTTTTGCCTGCCGGTGGGCCAAATGGGTGTGGTGGTTTTTGTAGACCGTCTGAGTAAGATGGCTTAGCTGCCGGATACCATCGACAGTGTGGATACAGCGACGCTGTTTGTCGGTCGTTTCTTTCGACAACATAGAACTCCCGGAGTCAATGGTCTCCGATCGATATCCGCGCTTCACTAGGAAGTTGGGTCGACATTCTTCAGGGTGCTGGGCACCAAGTTGGCTATGTCAACATCGGACCATCTTCATACTAGTGGTCAAACTGAGCGCGTGAATTGCGGCATTGAAGACGTTCTTCGAGGCGTCTGCGCTGGGACGCCGAAGCGCTGGAACGCCATGCTGCCACTCGTAGAGTTTTCTTTATACAATGCAGAACATGCGTTACCGACTACACGCCGTTCTACGTAAACAGGCTTATTAATCTCGCGTCCCACCGACGCCGCTATTCTATAGTTCAGGGCTTGGTGAGGGAGGAATAACCAAACGGCTAGCTGATGTCAGCCCCCTTACTGTCCGTGAAGAAGTTGAAGACTTCTCGTCTACCAGACTGAATGTGCTCCAACACGTTTCCGATGCGATGGCTGAAAGCGAAGACATGCAGAACGAGTATGCAGATGAAAGAAGCCGAGAATATGTTGGAAACATTGAGGTCGAAGACCTGATTTTACTCAATACTAAAAATTTCCCTACACATACAGTCTCTGCTGCCTTCAAGACAAAGCTCTTCCACGATTTATTGCACCTCTTAAGGTAAGCAAAATATATTTATCTTCAAGTCAAACCTGAACTACTGGTTCCTTCATACGATTAAATAATTGCGCTCTCAATGTATTGCATGAAATAAGGCAAATAACCCGCGTGATTTACAAATCTTTCCCTGGGTCGGAATATTTACGTAATTTATTCTTTAGAGCGTCAGTCGATAGAAATTTTAATTATCACATTTTTAAGACAAAAAATGAGTGCGTGTGCAGTCTGATGGAAAATGAGAAAGAAAGACGATAGGTGCTTTTGCAGCAGACTCACTTTTATTTGTTTCAATTTGTTAAAAGCTTACATCGTTTGCTCTCTCGTCCACTATTGACTTGTTCAAATCAGCTAGCCTCGCTTGTGTGCCCATCACAGCAATTTCAAGCTCTGGGGCTACTAACGCTGTATTATCTAAGAAACCATGAGAATGTGAATGTGCCGGAGCAATGCTTAAAAAAACGAGCTTTTTCTGGATAGCTAGTCTTGTGCATAGAAGCAACATTCCAGCCAAGAGGCAGGATTGTTCGAGAGTCGAGACATAATCAAAGCATGCGCTTATCAATTGGCCTTCTTCGGTCGAAGGTATTTTATTAACCTTCCCACTTGGAGTCTCCACGGCGTTATAGCTTCAACTTTGGTTGCCTGCTTTGAACGCTTGATCAAAGTCTTTCTGTTTTCTTCACTGATGTCTTTAGAGTTGTCAACACGGGTCTGTCTTCTAAAAGGATATTTTTATGAGATTAAAAAAGACCGAGTATTCCAGCCAGCACTTCAAGTCGTTGCTTTTCAAACATTGAATCCTGTGAGATCAAGTTTCATGAGTTTGCGCACAAATATTTGGTGGTATTTGCGCTCCCAAACAAAATCCTAGTTCCGTTTCTATATGCCCAGCAGCTTTCTCCACCTTGGGTCTTTTGTCATTCTTGAGTACACGTTGTTTTACTTTATCTGGGAGCGAATTTTGCACAATAGTTAACATTGACTCTGCGTCGTTTGGATATGCCTGAATGAATGCAACTTTCCACCCACGTCAAAAGATCAGGCTGGAAATCATTGAGCAAGTCGAGATGCTGTAATTTAATTTTTTTGCCGGACAAAATTTATCCTTTACCCGACGCTCTGATCGTACTTTTGAAGCAATAGGGCGAAGCCCTGCACTTTGGGGTTTGGCCCACCTGCCTCCAGTATCTTGGATACAGTTATTTCTTCGCGAACGATCGCAGTGAGTTGAGCAAGAAGATGAATAGTTTTTTTCTTGTTCAATTGTAATAACTTCTCAAAAAAATTGGAAACCGGGTCAGACTCAATATTTTTCGAAAGGATTCGCGGTTTTTTATCTAGTGGTGTAAACTTATCGTAATGTTCCAGAACAAGTTTAACTATGAGGCTCTCATGATCATCGAACAGGGCTCCTAGAAAACAATACGATTTACTGTTGTCATACCAGTGCTGATACAACATATCTTGTAATCTTTAGCATGAGGTATCTCCATGACATATGTAGCCAGAGTATAGCCGTCAAAATCAGAATTCATAACATCAATCGGCCCCATTGGGGAATCGGAATTACATGCTTTATAGACAGCACAGAATTCTTTCCATGTATACAACATCACCAAAAATATATTATAAAGGTCAAATGGCGTTACACCGTTAAACAGAGTTTTTCCGCCGTCCAGCCAGTTCTTACTTCGCTCTGTTTCAAAAACCAAGGCATTTTTTTGTGATTGGATCCAATTTTGCTTCTTCAATCTTTGTAGATGCCTCACGTTCATTAAAGCAAGCCTGCTGTATTTAATAGCTTAAACTTCGTTGATGTATACTGTCATCTGTAACTATAAATAGTTGCAACGGGGCTGCCGTAGCTTTGCGCTTGAGGAAGCGTAATTTACGTCACCGACTTTTCGTTTTTTACAAGAACAAAAACGAGCTAAGCGGGTCGCAATCCGCTTACTCCAAGAGTTTTTATTGCCTTTACATAAGACTAATAAATCTTCGGTTTAAATTCAAACTGATTTTGATTTACTTTTATCTGCAGCAAAGCCGCCTAATTAAAAATGTATACATTTTCCTAAGTAGGTATAGTGAAATCTAAATACATGTATAACTACTGGCTATCTAGCCGCGTACCGTATTCTTGTTTGGGTGTGATCGCACCATGTCCATCTGGTGTGATGCACACCCCTGTTACCAGGGTATGTGAAACCCCGTTACACTCTCTCCCATTAAGACATTTACAGTTCCAATCGATTATTGCCTCAATGATGGTTCGTTGGAACAAACGACTTCCGAGCCCTGTGTCAACGACACTGTAGTCACCAAATCTCGCTGATTCTGTCAGCGTACACGGGCAGAGCCCACTTTGTCTTCCGCACGCGGTGCAATGTCGGACAGTGCGTCCACGGCATTGAGGGATGTAAATCCTAGGCTCACTGAGCCTGAACGTCGCGCTCCGTGCACGCTGTCAGTGACGATTGACCCCGCTGAGAATGTAG